GCCACTGGGGTCTGAAGGAGGAGCAGTACCCAATGTATAGGGCAGGGTGGCCGCCAAATTTAAAAATCAGTTCCCTGGAGAGATCGCCTGATACTCTCAGAGCCACCGTTTGTGGGAGTTACTTTCTTGTGGAAGTTTTCTCTGTTGTTGCTTTACTTTTCTTTCCATTTTGTAAATGAATGAAAAGGAGGAATGATGGGAGATTTATGTTTTCTTTTTCCCTCTCTTCCCTCCACCCCCAGTAAAGCCAGGATTCAAGGGACTGATTTATTTATTTAGTATTAATTTTTGAAAATGTTGTTAGTGGAGTTCTCTTACTCTTCCTCAGGTCTTAAGTTCAGGAGTTTTTTTTATATATATATATACTAGAATTTAATGAGATCCTTTCATTTGTCTTCTCCCTGCCACCCCTAGTTACTGCTAATTGTCTTAATTACAAAAACCAAAACCCAAACCAAACTAACAACCCCAAACCCTAAAAATCTAGTAAGTTATTTATTTGTTTTTAAGAAAAGAAGAGTAGGGGGAGGAGAAGATACTGTTAGCATATACACCACTATATATACTAGAATTTAATGAGATCCTTTCATTTGTCTTCTCCCTGCCACCCCTAGTTACTGCTAATTGTCTTAATTACAAAAACCAAAACCCAAACCAAACTAACAACCCCAAACCCTAAAAATCTAGTAAGTTATTTATTTGTTTTTAAGAAAAGAAGAGTAGGGGGAGGAGAAGATACTGTTAGCATATACACCACAAATGGGAAACTACTGCATTTTTTTTAGTTACCTGACAGTCTGTATTGCTTTTGTCAGACAAAAAATTCTGTATGGAGATATTGAACGCAGAGTCTTCAAATGCAAGCACTGAATGAAATACCTAATCTGTTGCTGATTTACTGTTATTGCAAACAATTCTAATAACTCTTACTGCAAAATAGATTTTTCCATGATAAAACCTTTTCAGTCATTTAGCAAAGCTGTTATACATACTCTTTGGCAAAACAGTAGAAACAAAATGTCACTGAACAAGAGGATAGTAACAGCATGTGCTCTTTTCTCTTCATGTTCCCACTAACTTTTTCAGTTTATCAACTTTTCTGCTTCCATTTTGTTATATTGGTGGCCACAGCTGGCATTTAGGTTTCTTTGTTGAACAAGCAATTTCATCACTCTATAACAAGCAAATTAACTTTTTGATCTGTATGTAATGGTAGAAAGCAAAATCATAAATTACTTGAAAATGTGATTTCTGAAGGCAATAATGTTTATGTAGGTTAATTTGTTTTGTCCTGACTCCCTGTTCCCTCCTCACCAACCCCGCTGCCCACTTTGATCCTGATGTTGCACAGCTGTACTTCCCTTTGAAGATGTGTTTTCAACAACTTCATGAAACTTGATGGCTGTTTAGAGGAACAAGACCAGAGTTAATGCCCCCACCAAGAAAAAGGCAGGACCACCGACTCAAGTCCTGTCTCATTTGTGTTTCATTTGCCAGTACACTTACAGCATGTGTGGCTGGGGGTGGGCGTGCGTGTAGGGGAGACTTGCACACCTCCATCACACATCTATAGAAAACACGGGTTTATTGCTTCTGTCACTCAAGAAACAAGATATAATTTTGGTGATGATCTTGTTACAAAGCACTAAAGTTGGGTTTGGGCAGGAGCCCAGAATCAAGATCAGACTGGATTTTTGGAAATTTAAAATATGTTGGTTTTGTTGATTGTTGGAAGAACTGAGGGAAGTGTGCATACAGAAGAAGTCAACTAAAAAACCAAATGTTACTAACTGTGTGTAAGCTTAAAGGATCACAAGCTGTAAAGTCACTAAAAAGAGGCAGGAAACAGCCACAAGCCTAGGACTGGTGATGTTAGAAGCTTTCCCTTACTTTGTCCTGAAACAGGAGCTAACTTAAGGTATAGGTATCATGCATTTTGTTACTATATAATGGCATCCTTTGCTTTTTTTTTTTTGTTCTTGTCTAGCCACTTTCTCTCCATGCTGCCTTACCTTGTGCTTCAGTGGCCATATGTATTTCATTATAAGGCAAAATTGAATCACACATCCATGTAAGAAGTGTTGCAAAAATATTCCTGCAATTTTTATAGATGTCTGGTGGTGAGGGAAGTCTGCCTTGGTTCCCTCCTATCTGCCTTCATTCTCTCCAGGAGAACCCAGAGAGACTAACTTCTATTTCACCGTCACTGGTCTCTAGAAAATTGGATATAATTGGAGATATCTCTTTCTTTTTATATCTATCTATCTATCTCCTCTCTGAGATATATATAGATATGTATGTATTTCCCCTCTGCTATTGGATATAAGGCCTCAGTGCACCTAATATTAAGTAACTAATATAAAATTTGGCATAGCAGAGAGGATCACTTAATTTTTGGCCATTTTCACCTCGCCCTTTCAACAGCTCTTCTCTGTCTGGATTGTTTTTGTCTTGGAGTAACTGCTGAAGCCGCTGGGGATCACGGGATTCCAGACATATGTTATGGGGGTTGTAAAGATAGGGGAGAATGGGATGACTTTATAAAGAATTAGCCTAATTAAGAGAATGCCCAAAGGTCAAAAGGCAGATGGACTGGCCTGCTCTGATGTGATTCTCTTATTTATTTCCCTGAGTCTCCAAGCCAGCTGGGTTGGAATGAGTAGGAAAGCAGAATATTTTGTGTTTCTCAGCAGTGATTTATTTGTAGAGGTGAAACCAGGGAATTTCCCTCTGTGTGAAACTATCTGCTCCTTGGCTTCAAACGTTCAATATTTTATCCGCCAAGGAATGTTTGTCCTCTGGAGACAGATCAGTGAGCATGTACAGATTATAAGTAACCTTTTGCTTTCACTTGCCCTGTGCATAGTGACCCCCTGTTGACCCAGTGCCTTGGTTACTGATCATTAGTGCGGCCGTCTCCCCTCTCCATGAATTTCACACGTCAATGTGTCTCCTGTGGCCCGGGGAGAAAGAGGACTTACAATGCAAGATGTATTGGCAAACCCTGTGGTTGAATACAATATAATTTGGAAGGACCTTCTGAAAAGCTGTTCGCACGGGGAAACATTCAAAGACAAAACGTGATTGTGCAAATGTGTGTCTATAAAAGAAAATTAGGACAAAGTGGAGGGTCCTTCCCATCTTAGTTACGACTAAGATATGTATGTGATGCAGCCATTTTATCAATAGTAATTATTTGATTCTTTATGGTGAAATAATGGGCGCAGTCTTAAATTTAACCCTGATTTTCAAAAGTGCAATCCCACTTGGTGTTGATTGCGTTTGAAAAATGAAAAACTTTAGTTTTGTAAGTCTGAGCTATGGGGCGATGTATTTGGTATTAGCTTGACAACTTAAATTTGGAGGCTGTGGGAGCGATAGTACACACTGCAAAAGCATGCTTGGCTCAGGGTGGTGGCTTGCTTTTTTGGTACTTTCATGTTGCTATTTAAGATAGCCGGGGACTTGCTTGACAGAATAAGGGAGATGCACATCTTCATTTAGAGAGAGATGTAAATGGGAGTGGGGGGATCGGTAGTCTTCAGAGCCATCCGACGGAGGAAGCCTTCTTGCAGCGTTGAAGAAACAGCACGTATGAGGTGGTGGGAATGTGGAGAGCCCTCGAAATTGTTTTGTTTTCAATTTCATTTCTACTTTAAATGGACATTATAGTAAATGGTTGTTTGTTCATGTTTTTCTACTTGAAGATATATTTTGCTTCTTTAACAGGGCAAAAAGGATGTTTCCCAGATATTTAACAACATCTTGAGAAGACAAATTGGCACACGCAGCCCTACTGTGGAATACATTAGTGCCCATCCGCATATCCTATTCACGCTTCTAAAAGGGTGGGTGCTTTAATTTGATTTTCGTTAAAGACCATTGCCTGGAACATGTTGGCATTGCAGTTCACCTACTTTCTCACTTTTAGTTTAAAAAAAAAAAAAAAAAAAGGATTTTCAGATTTTGTTCCAGATTTCTTATTTTGTTTCTTTCATATTGACTTTCTTTCTACTTAACTGTATACTTTTAAATGACTGGATTATTTTATTTGGCTGTTATTTCTTCACCAAACTTCATTTTGCAATAATTACGTGCTGATTGTTTTTGACTGCTCCCAACATGATGTGTACTTCAGTTTTTGCCCTAAACTCTTGTATAGCATTGTTGACAACCGCTGAGTTTCATTTAGACCTTTTTGCGTTGCAGGAGTGACTTACAGTGGTGTCTGTAAATAACTGGAGTCAAACTGGACCACTGTGTGGTAGAACAGAGAGAAGCAAAAATGTATAAAAAGAACAGTTGTGTCTGTGGGATGGAGTTCTCCAATGCTTGTAGCCACATGTGAACTTCAACTTTAAATTAATTCTGTAACGAACTCCACAATTTTCAGCATTAAATCTTTTTTTTTTTTTTCTTTCTTTTAACCTTTGAGGGGGTCAGTGCTCAGTTATAGCCCGGTGGTTCACAAGGTAAGTTGGCCAAGGAGGGGGAGTAGGCTGCTGTGTGGAGAGGACATCAGCTGCAGTTGTATTCAGGAGTGCACAAGTGTTGGCCTAAAACTCTTGAGGTTTCTGTCCCCTTTACTTTTGACTAAAAGCACCCTCTGTTCAGCAAGCAGCTTTGCTTTTCCAGCCCTTAAAGTCTACTGTTTTCTTCTCAATTTTCTTTTGACTTGAGGATTTTGATTATTTTTCCCTAAGGAAAGGAGAATATATGTGATTGGGATTAAATAACTGATGTAGAAATAAGTGCATTTATTAGCTTATCAGTATGAAACAACGTGGACTCTCACAGCAGTTGTATGGCCACACTAGTAACAGCTGTTCAAAAACACGATATAAGCCTTTTAAACTAATGGTTCTTAAGAGAATGAATTTTTTAATGTGTCTTTCTTGCTCTTGAGGTTGAAGATTTGCATTTTTACCGTTTGATCCACAGCCAAATTTAGGAAGATACTTAAGCACCATCTAAGACTGTGCATGAGAAGGCTGCAGCCCCAAGGGTAGAGTTCCCATCAGCCAGCCTCCTCCCTCTCCCAGGGGCAGACCTGAGCCAGGAGAGGGACAGACATGGGAGTCCCCTAAAATAGTTATTTCCTTCAAAATTTGCCACATTCCAGCACAGCTGAGTAGAGAAAAAAGTAGCCGAGAAAACTAGTCAGTACCAGGGATTTCAAGAACTGTGAGCTTGTGGTTGAACGTGGCAGCAAAGCTCTTGGTTGCTGCAATAGGAGGAGGTGTGGACCCGCTGCCTTCCTCGCAGCCCGGGCAGGTGGGAAGCCCAGGCAGGTGGCTGGGCTAAGCTAGGTCTTGCTCTTACAACTATAGTGATTTGTGGTGATTTGGCTTTAATTGTGAAACTCTTGATTTGTTTTGTGGTCCTAAACACCAGCTTCCTCAGAAAGGAAACCAGTAAGCTAGTTAGATGGATTTTGGTTTCATTGGTTCATTAAAATTCACCTTTTATATAAACCTCAAACTAGTAGTTTCAGGACAGTGATGATAATTCTGTCAGTGGTCATTAAGTTGTACAACTGTTTTCAATTTCATGTATAGACACAATCATTGTCTTCCCTTTTCTCTGTCTTTGCTTTTTCACTTTTTCACTCATTTTGTTTTTGCACATTGCGCATGTATCGCTACCATATGTCTGGGTTTTATTTAAAGCTAAAAAATATTTTTGGATCATGGCCCAGATATACTTTGGCATCTGTAACAACCAAGAATATTAAGATAATAGTAAAGGTTTTGTGTTATGCGTATATGCTCTGACAGACATGTTACTGTAGGTGACCTGAGCCAGTGGATGTACTTAAATGGAATCACTTAGGTGCTTTTTTGGAGATTGCTGCTGCATGCAGCATTGTGTCTGTGTTGGTTTGGTCCTCAGGCTCCTTGTTCTTGATTTCTTGGCTATCTCTCCGCAGCACTGCACTGTATCAGAATTGCCATTTCTGGAGTTTCTTGTTAGAAAGTGCTATTGAATTCATCAGCAGTAGTCCAGAAAACAGTCCTATCCAGCCCTGATGGTATCTCAGCAGCTGCTACAGAAAAACGTCATGATGTCAAATGTGATGCTGCCTTACCTGCCTACGTACTGCTGCTGGGACCATCTAAAAATGATACTCAAAATATGTGCCTACAGCAAGGGTAGGGCCCTGAACATGGAGCTTGCTGCATGCCGGCAGTGTGCGGTGCTTGTACGCAACCAGCTATGCGACTGGGAAACACGCACTTCATGTTAGACACCAGCAGTTGAAAATGTGACTTGAGGACACGTTTTCATATTTATTTAATGCTAAATGAAATATATGACATCAAAATCTGCTAAAAGGAGAGGAAAGTGGATTTGGCTGGCTTGTACCATTCAGTGTTTGTTATACAACATTATCTGGAGAGAAAAAAAAAAATTTCTACCATGACTACAAAAGAAGCAGCCCAGGACTATTGTGAAGGCTTGTCATTGTTTTACTTGTATTGGATGCAAAATTTCCTCTGCCCCCTGACAATCAGTTCCCAACAGCATCAACAAAAGGTTGCTTTTTCATTGCATAATGTAAGCTCTGTTGAGTGGGAAGGATCCTGAATCGGAGCTCCCGCCCAGCGTTTCCTGCCTAATACTCCAGCGGCGCTGCCAGCTTGAGATAACCGTTCTTACCTTTTAGGCTTCGTTTTACTTGTTGGCTGCTTCCTTCCAGCTTCTCGGCTTCAGGAAAACATACAGCACATAGTTCACTACTTTTTTTTTTTTCCTTTTTTTTGGTAGGTGAATTGACCTTCCTGCTGCATGAGGACTTGCTTTAATAATATCTTATTTTCTGTGTGTGCAGGCTTTCTGTATGAGTTGGATTTCAGATGAAGACAATGTTTGGTGTGTGTAGGCTACCGGATATATTTGCGTCAAATTTTTTCTCTGGTGTCAGCATATTGCATTAGTCCAGAAATAACCTTGGTGCTTTATAATTCAAATTATTTTCACTCTACTACAGTGACTGTAGAGGACTTGCAGTTAGTGTCACTTGCCTTGTCTCTCCCAAGTGACAAATGTATAAGCTTCTTTGTGAAAATATATCATGCCACATGCTATCTGTAACATACTTAGTCACTGCCCCGATCTGTTTTGTGATGACCTCTTCGTATCACAGTGCAGTTAAAGCTTTAATGGTATATGGGCTGAGGTTGCAGAATTCCCCTTGAGTTTATATAAGGATAAAGTTAGTGTAAAATCAGATCAGAATATCGCTGTTTGTCAAGACCTTGTGTCTCCCAGGCTCGATGCCTTCCTATTCTCCTGCCTGTGCTCTAGCCATGCAAGTATGATTCCCTTTGCACTGAGATGCATCTCTGCTCTCAGTCTTGCCTCTTTCAGCCTCCACAATAAGAGTTTTGAAATATTTCAAGTCCATTATTTCATTTTCTAGTTGCCCCCAGTAGTCAGTATGTGGGGATTTCTTTAGTTTGTAAGTTCATCTCAACAGAGAAGAACACAATATTTTTTTTTTTCTGCTGCAGGAATACATCAGCCCAGAGCACTAATTGCTCATTAGAAGTGATTTTGAACACATTTCTCTCATTCCTGCCTGCTGGCTTTGCGTGTAAGTGTGGGTGCAGAGAACATGCCAGTTATGACTGGGCAACCTGGAAACTTCTTGCAGGCATATTCCAGGAGCCAAACCCAACTTCCCTCACTTATGTGAACAGCCAAAGGTCCATAACCCACTTCCAGCTAATGGAGCATTTGACTAAGAATGATTCTGTTGATACTTATGTTTTAAAAAGTTATTGTGCTGGAAACAATGTAATTTGCTTTTATTCCAACCAAAATATTACTTGGCCAACTATTAAATATTTTCCTGGCTGCACTCCTAGGAGCAACTCCGCCTCTTTTTCCTTGAAAATTAGTATTCCTGTTAATGGAGCTGAGGAGAAGTATGCCTTAATGGGAAAAATCAGTGAATTTCTGTTGTCTAAAGAGTTATAAATTCACATTTGCAAATGTTTCCCAACAGGAAACAAATAGGGGCTTGAGTGCTTGCATTTCCTTGAGGGTGGGAAGTTTCATTTGCCCGTTTGGAATAGTAATTCATTTTTCATTAAGCCAACTATTGTTGACATTCAGGTTGAAGTATGCAGCTCTGGTATGCTCGCAAAACACTACCATTCTTTTAAATTGCAAGCTGGTGGTAAATTTGAGGGCCCACTCACTTACAGCACAGATGGCATTTTGTGTTTTTCTTTTTTTCTTTTTTTTTTTTTTTTTCCTCTTTTGGCCTAGTGATAGGAATTAATTGTGCAAAAGAAAAATGATGCTGATAAGCTCTGGGTGATAATACACAGTTTTGATATAGTATAACCATCTTACTGAAACAGAGCGTGCTTTCTGTCCCCTTGGACTTCACCACTTTCACATCACTGAAGATTGCTGGAAGAAGTTCATTTTAAGTCCGTCCTGACTGCTGGATTTCATCCTTTCATCTTAAAAAAAAAAAAAAAAAAAAAAATCTGTTTCCAACAGTTTTGTTTCAGATTAATTTCAGCTTTAAAGAAATCAAGACGTTATAGAAATAGAAGATTATCTGAATTGCCTCCCCCCTCCCTCCCTCTCCAAGATCGAGAAGTGTGCTGGCTCCTGGCTATTGCAATCTGTGTGCCATAACAGGATTGTAACTTGAGGAACGAATACTTGTCTCCTGAACAAAGTCGTAACCTCTGCAGAGGAGGGATTGAGCAGAATTCCTCCTAAACTGCAAAAAAGATCTTCAGAGCTACAGAAAGCTTAATCCTGTGTAGAGTACCTGAATGGACTCTTCCTACCTTCCTCATTAGACATTAATATTCTAGAGCGACGTTCTCCAGAAGAGAGAGTGGGAGGTGATGATGGTCATGAGATGTTATATTTTTCCTGGATACACCGAGGAGCTCAGAATTAAATCTGAAAAGGGAGATTGTTATATTGTACAAGCTTTGCTTTTATATAAATCTAAAAGGGTGAAGGAGCTCTGTTGAAACGTTACACACTCCCCACAGTCTTTCCGCAGAGAGGAGGTGTCATGCACACTTACACCGAAATGTGTTTTGGCTTGCGAAGGCAAAGGTTTGCGATGGGAAAGGCTGGCAGCCTTATCTGTGCGTCTGCTCCTTAGCTTTGGGTCGAGGTCCTGAAGCTGGGTATGGTGCTGCAGCCGGGAGCTGCCATCCGCGTGTTGTGTCCCCTCTGGCGCACGCGTTCCCTATGCGACAAAGTTCCCCGTTGCTGGAAAAGTGCCCGTTCATCTTTATTCTTCTACATTTTTATCTTTTCTGTTTCTTTTCATTCTGTAGATACGAATCCCCAAATATTGCCTTACGCTGTGGAATTATGCTGAGAGAGTGCATCCGGCATGAACCCTTGGCCAAAATCATACTTTTTTCGGAACAGTTCAGAGACTTTTTTAAATATGTGGAAATGTCAACGTTTGATATAGCTTCTGATGCCTTTGCTACATTCAAGGTAAATTATTTGATGCCTGCATCGTATCATTGTGTCAAAAATGGCACCCCATCAGTAGTCATCGCTGAATGTTGTGTTGCCTTTAAACTGGGTGGCTTTTTTATTGTTCAGTGAAAGATATAATTAATCTTTGGTCTGATTGTAACAGGATTCACAACGGTGTTCAAGTCTGCAAAGAATCTTTAATTCAATCAGATTTACATTTCACTAATGTTCTTCATCTTGATAACCCAAGGTCTTTTATGCAACCATTTAAAACTCAAATTAATCATGTTTTACATACAGTTCTTGTAAAATGCATAACCTTTTTCTCTCCCTACCTTATAGAATCATAGAATCATTATGGTTGGAAGAGACCTCAAAGATCATCAAGTCCAACCGTATACCTGATGCCACCATGCCCGCTAAACCCACTAAACCATGTCTTGAAGCGCCACATCTAAACGTTTTTTGAACACCTCCAGGGATGGTGACTCCACCACCTCCCTGGGGAGCCCGTTCCAATGCTTAACGACTCTAACAGTGAAGAAGTTCTTTCTAATGTCCAACCTGAACCTCCCCTGGCGCAATTTGACGCTGTTTCCTCTTGTCCTGTCGCTCGTTAGCAGGGAGAAGAGACCAACCCCCACCTCGCTACAACCTCCCTTCAGGGAGTTGTAGAGCAATCAGGTCTCACCTCAGCCTTCTCTTCTCCAGACCAAACACCCCCAGCTCCCTCAGCCGCTCCCCATCAGACTTGTGCTCCAAACCCTTCACCACCTTCGTTGCCCTTCTCTGGACTCGCTCCAGCACCTCAAGGTCTTTCTGGGAGTGAGGGGCCCAGAACTGAACACAGCACTCGAGGTGCAGCCTCACCACTGCCGAGTACAGGGGGACGATCACTGCCCTGGTCCTGCTGGCCACACTATTGCTGATACAGGCCAGGATGCTGTTGGCCTTCTTGGCCACCTGGGCACATTGCTGGCTCATGTTCAGCCAGCTGTCGACCAACACCCCCAGGTCTTTCTCTGTAAGGCAGCTCACCAGCCACTCATCCCCAAGCCTGCCCCCAGAGACAAAACCACTACCCATCAGGACCACACCAATAAATAGAATGAATCATTTAAAACTCACTTTTGAAATCCTTGTAACTTTTGCTGTCCCTTCTGAGTTCAGCAGTCAAGTTTAGATTAATGCCATGCCTGCTAATTATTTTACAATGTATTCATATGCTTACTTTTGTGACTCATGGTTCAGTGTAAGGATCATACTGCTACAAGCTAAGTAGGTGGAAGCACTGCATAGACTCTGTATAGAGTCTGTGTTGTATTAAAAATTAAGTTGGGTGAAGCTTGCCAGATTTCCTGGAGTTTGTATGTGACTATCATCTTTCCCTGAAGGTGCTAGTATAGTCTTTGAGCAAAATTTGGTGCCTATGAGTTTAATGTACAGGGAAGATTAATTTATTTCTGAAAAGTAATTGAAGAAAGCTGGGGAAAATCCTTTTCAGGTAAAGACTCTTCTAAATACAGACGTAACTCCTTTTTTCTTCTATCACTGGGTTCCTTGCTGTCATAGAAACACATTGTTTATTCTGTCCTCTCAAAGCTAATTAGAAACACAATTAGATAGGCCTTAGGAAAGACTGTAAGGAATGTTAGGGTTCAGCTCAGCTATTCAATGCATACTGAAACCTGGCCTTGGTTTTTACTGACCTACAGAATGGGGTAAAGATTTGCATAATGGAGATAACATTGCATTCTTCAGTAATGAGTTGAGCAGGATTACCAATTCAAACCACCCAGTAATCAATAGCAGCATCTTTCAATTATTTGAAGTTGCGCTGTCCTGTGTTCATTAGGTACATGTTATGGAAGTGGAAGTAGCAGAGGAACACAGACAAGTAAAAGTACAGTGTAGGACTGTGTAAAAATGCAACATAACTGAGATATTTAAATCTTCTGTCTCTGGCATTTTATCCTATGCTTGGAAGAGTATTTGTCTCTGGTCAGAAAACGTGCTCCTGGACTCTGTTCCCAGCTTGACAGAAGAGATCTGCATCTTTTCTCCAGGTCTTGCTTTGAGCACGACAGCAGAGTGTGTTGTTGGTGATGGACGGTCTTCACCCCAACCAGGAGGCAGGATGGGGACAAGGGTCAGTTAAGCTGCGGCAGGGACCGCAGACTGCTGCACCCCTCCCAAAAAAAGAGGGATTGATGTTGTCCACAGATCTAAAGTTGTGGAACTTACACTCGGTTCACAGGGGACAGAAGTATTTTTAGCAGGATTTAAAAATAGGATTCTGCATCCTTACGTGCATTGGAAAGAGAGAAGTATGAGGGCAGTTAGTCTTCAGACATAGGTCAGAAATCACCTTTTAAAATGCTTGGGGAAAATCTATAAACTGCCTATTTTATTTTTTTTGTAATTGCCTCTTAGCACCCGATACATGGTCAGTTCTGGAAATAAACCAGCTGCTCGTCTCATCTCCTATTTGTGTGTTACTCTGAATAGCTGGAACAGCAAGAAGTGATGCGGAAGCAATTGAATCGTGAAATATGGAGCTACCTCATTTCTAATACCATAAAAATAAGTGCTATGATTGCTCACTGGCTGGATTACTGAATTCATGTTTTCAGTTCTGTTGCCCCCGTGTTGGGTTTGTAGTGTTGCTACCGGGGTGTCTGATTCAGAGCTGAAAGCCTTGGATAGTCTATGCACCAGAGGAGGGCTTAATGAAATGTGTATTGAAGTCTGAGGACACTTATAGTAGGGGGAAGTATTGGAATTTTTGATGATCTGGAGATGTACTTCTTAATTAAATTCATCCAGGTGCACTGCAGAGAGGAAACAGAGCTGTTAAAAATGCAGAGGAAAATGGCTTGTATTTAAAGATCTCGTTGGCTGTGGAGGGCACAAGCAGCAGTGGGAAAGATGCTGATTGAATACTGCTGCTCCACGCTCTCTCATGATTTTCTATGAAAAACTCATTTTGGATTATATTCCGTTTGTGCCCCCTATTGAAAAATGTTGCACTTGCCTCCTAAGTGCCCGGAATAAAAGCTCGTGAAATCATGTTTTTTGCACTCGGCCTTTTAAACTGCTATCATTGCAGTCCTGCTAAATAAAGGAATGTATTAAAAACATGCACTGGATTTTATAGCACTCTCCATTCCTCTTATAATTGATGGCAAAAATAAATTAAAGGATTAGTATGTAAAGGATTTCTTTTATTTGTGATGCTGTAGAGGATGTGTCTGTGCATCTGCTTCAGTTACTCATCAGGTTCAGTCTCTGACTGGGTAGGGAAATGAAGGAAAAGATAATGAAAAAGATAGCAGAAACTGATTCACCAAAAAAATATTTACTTGAATGGACTTCATCAGGCATTTATTGTGATCAGTATTATGTTTTCAAAGAGGCAGTACGATAAAAATAAAACTTAAATGCCTCAAACTGGCCACTTCATTTCATAGCTATTCATCCAGTAAAGAGCTTTGATTTCTTCTAGAGCTGAACATTTGCATCTCTCTCGCTAAGCACCAGCATTCCCATTCTGTGGGAGAGGTTGCTTTAATTTAAATTTTAATTAGCTGGCCTTTTAGCAGAGGAGGCATCCCATCCAGCTGTCTAAAAGGTCTGCTACTGCTTGTGTCAGTAATCCCATTTTGGGCAGAAAAAGAGCTGCAGAAGGGATTCATCCCACCTACCCAAAATCCCTTTCTGGGGAGGGAGTGGCTGTGGAGCGAGCCTGGATGGCTAGCCTAGATTGGTGCCTAACTTTTAGGCTTTAATTAAATAAATGTACATATACAACATTTGAATTTGCATCATCTTTGTTGTATTCTTGGAGATGAGCAATAGCAGTTGACCCAGTTTAACGTAATCTCCATCTGTGAGGTAGCACGTAGATCACTTTTGGCATTGGGACCATAGCTGATCCCTCCATAGGGCGTTAATTTACGTTCTTCCTTTCCCGTACCCCAGTTTATTGTAAGTACTGTGCACTATGACCGATGGCTGTAAGAAAAGGTGGGAGGGAAAAGGAATATAAAGAAAGAGTAAAAAGAGTGTTAGAATAGTTTTATATTGATTCTGTTAGCATTAACTGGGTTCTCCTTAAAATTCTGCTAAACACACAATACAGTATTGTTTTTAAATGCTTTCTGTCTATAGAAATCATGTTATAAATACCTTCTAAAAGATGACTTGGTCAAAAATGCTATAAAACATTCGAGAATCAAGGGACAATCAAATGAGCACACTCTCTCAGGTGACCTTTCTCTGTTCTTCCCCAGGACTTGTTAACACGACACAAATTGTTGGTAGCAGAATTTCTGGAACAAAATTATGATGTGGTAAGTATAAATGCAGAAGAATTGTTTTAGAATCTGTTCGTGCTTAGCTGGAAAAAGTGCATTTTCAATAGCAGAGGGTTTCACGCTCCACATAAAATAGGCACATATGACTACAAAACTAAACATTGCTTTTACTAAAGCAGAATCCTCGCGTGGCGTTTGAAATACAGGTACCCCCTCTACACACACCTGGGGACACGCACCAAGGTTTCAGGAGAACTCATGGCTTAAAAGCAAGTTTTATTCCTCTCTGTGTGCATCGTATCTCCTCATTTGTGACTGCAACTGTAAACTTTGTATGTAGATAGGTCATGGGGAAAAAAATGTGCACGCTTTTAAACAGTTTGGTGATGTTCCAGCACCAATAGGGCCATACCAGAGCTCTTTTATAATACTTTGGGACAGAGGAGAAGAGTTACTGGCAGAAGTTTAAGCATTACTGGAAATTGCATGTACCTAAATGGAGGACTGAGGTGTGAGTATTCCTCTTACCATCTGAAGGCAATTAGTCCCTTGGTTAGCTGCCATTTTTCACTTTGCTTTTTTGGCTCGGTTTTGAACCAAATGTGGGTCAGAAAAATTCTGTTGGAATCAACTAAAATTGGACTGATACGGATCGTGGCATTAGACTACAGGTTATGTTCTCATGTTACCTGAGGTATTCTTTATTTCATTGCCAAAGTGAAAAGGCCGAAGACTATTTCTTTCATTCTAGAGTTACCAAGAAGGTTAAATAAAGATCGGGTTTCTTATTGCTGAGTCATAAATGCAGCTTAACTGGAGCAAAATTAGTGTCTCTGCTAATCTTTTCTCTTAATACTGAAGCACTGCACTGGAACAGTCCCTATTCTAGGTTTATTTAACATTTAAAATTTTTAAGTGTAAGTTGTGGAAGTGAGCATTTTTTTAGATGATTCTTGGACAGCAGTGTTGGATTTTTTTGCTTGTTTGGTAGATCATTTGAACATATTGTAGCCTTCTTTCTCAGTCTTCTTGACCACAAGATTCCCTTGGCCCAATCCTGCAAAAGCCAGCACGTGCTTGGCTCCTAGTGACCCTCGTTGGGCAAACGGCTTTAACAACTGAGGGTGCTGAAGGCGGGCGAGGTGGCACCTCACAAAAGGAGCTTTTGGCATACACCAGTATGGGATGCACCGTCACCAATTTGGGGTATTGCATTAAATCACACAGCAAGTCATGGCCATGATACGAGTGAGTGGACGTTACCTGCTGCACCCACGTGTCCTGGCCGCAGATTCACCCTCCTGTAAGAGAAGGCTACAGGCACTGGCGTACTTCTGCCCTCGTTGGCTCACACCAGCTCCTGTTACGTCCAGCCCATATGTGGTATCCCCCTCTGCAGTATTTGGAAGAGGAGTGTTCCTGGGCATATCATGCAATAACTGCATGATAACCAGCTGAGAAAAAAGGCCACGAGAGCTGGGCCTGGCACTGCAGTGAAATGTTAGAGGGTGGCACTACTGTGGCCTCTGCTGCTCCTCTGGGGTGGGAAGGACCTGGAGGAGGAAGGATGGAAATGAATTGGATGCATTTGTGTTTTCTTGTTACTCTAGATCTTCGAGGATTATGAAAAACTCCTTCATTCTGAGAATTACGTAACAAAGAGACAATCTTTGAAGGTAAAGTCAAGTGTCTCAGCATTTTTCTCCTAAGTTTGAACTCCATGTTATGCAGAATATAAAGATGCATGTATGGCAATGGAGCAGCCGCATAGTTTCTAATGAAAAAGAAATAAGTGTTCGGGATGCTCTTCTTACAATGCACAAGAGCTTACTGTGTCTTTTCTTTACTGGATCTCTGGTGAAGCATTGGGCCGTTTCTATGGAACAAGCACTATCATTTTTCCTCTGACCTCAAATCTGTACTTTGGTTCAGAACGTAGGTTAAAATGAACTTAAGAGCAATGTGATAGTCTCTGTTTGTCTGGTGCTGCTTGCTGCTACACCACCAAGTCTGACATGACCTGCAGATGGGACCAGGTAGGCGTGTTGATGTAACATCCGAATGAAATGAAGGTGTCTTTGTGGAACAGCGGCACTACACTTGCTTCTGTCCTAGCTGGCTCACACCCACTCCTATTACATCCAGCCCAGATGTGGGATCCCTCTCTGTAGCATGTAGAAGATGAGCATTACTGGGCATTAAGTAACTCACTGCATGATAACAAATCTAGTTACTTTTTTTAAAAAAGGTACTGACATTGAAACCTCTTAGGCAAGCATTAAAATCTGTTGCTGCTTTCTTTGCATTCAAAAATAATGTGGTGAACTGAAAAAAATGGATTTTTTTGTAATTGTGTCTATAGTTGCTGGGTGAATTGATCCTGGACCGACACAACTTTGCCATCATGACAAAATACATCAGCAAACCAGAAAATCTGAAGCTGATGATGAACTTGCTGCGAGATAAAAGCCCCAACATTCAGTTTGAAGCATTCCACGTGTTCAAGGTGAGCTAGTGTAAGCTGCAGAGGTGGCAGACTTTCTCTTCTCATAAAAGTGTCTTTCAAGGTGGGCTAAGAGAAAGCCCAGAAAATTAAGCCAAAGGTTGGGGTTTACAGTCACTTCCAGCATTTGAGAATGTCTTAATTGAAAACCTTTCTATCACTCAGCCTCTGATTTGTTTGCCTTCCTTCAGGTGAGATCTAAAGCAGCAGCATTTTGGTTTGGGCTGAGGGTAGTCAGTCAAGTAGCAATGAGGTGGATGCTACAGGTAACAAAATACAAAGCTTCTAGGTAGTATCCGGGTACCTTCCCCCAACTCTTAGGTCATTTTACCATGTGGTTCTGGGTAAAGATTGAAAAAAAGTCTTAAAACTAATTTAAGACTAAAAGTAGATGGTGCTGGCACTGTGCATCAGTGTAAACGCAATTTGCTTCTAAAGGTGTTAAAAAGATTTGGTAAATCTGAGCTTGAAATGACTCTATTCCTTCTGTCTTTTTGCAGTGATCATTAATGCAGGCTTAAACAATTACCAGACCCAACCAGTGTCCCTTTTTTCATGATGATTAATGTTAATAAGTGAAAAGTTTATCATTTTCCTATCAAAAAAGTTCTCTGCTCTGGGACAGAGGGTGAGTTGGACTGTTATTATGCAAAATGACCTTTAATTTGGAATGAACACATTGATTTCAAACTATTTAGAGTTGTTAATGATTTTCAGAAGAGGAATATATTGAGCCTGTGAGGATATCATTCCCCAAGATGGTTAAGAAAGATACTAGATCACACCAAAAGGCGTGCTGTTGGAAAAAGGTTACATCACCCTGCACAAATTCAGGGTGACTTGTTGAGTTTTGTACTTCTGCCATTTCTGATTTGGAAAAAAACTTTCATATCTTCAGTTTCGAGGCTTAGAGGATGTGCAGCTTCTCCAAAAAGCTTTTAATTTCCAAAGAAAAAGCTTCAAGGAGGATTAAAAAAAAATTCCCTTCCTGAAATAAGCAGCTTGGTAAGCTGTTCCCTTGCTGACTTCCTCCACAGTCAGCTGAACCACTGTGAGTAACTTCTCCTCCTTATCAGGAGGAGTGTGGCTTCAAGATAAGCGAGCAGTCAGGCTCCAAACACTTGCAGCCTTTGAGATGCCTATGGAGGGAAAGGATCAGAGGATTGGGCTCTCTTAGCCACTCTGAATAAATGCCAGATTTTTACGTATGAAACACATGAGTTGCTGTTCCTGAATGAATAATAGGCATGGCCCAGGCCTTGAACAGCTGATTTTGCTTATTTGAAGAAGCATTTGAAAGGATTTGGAATAACTTGAAAGGATTCCAGTGTGCAACCATGTCACACATTGCTGTTGCTCCCATTCTGCCTTCCCATTCCTCCCTTCCTTTCCTTTCCTAGTACGTTGTGTCCCATTTCCAGTTACACTGGAGATATTGTAGGCTCAGCCTTGCTCGACCACTTGCCATTGCTACCACGTGGACGTAATGCAGAGGCCTTTGGGTGCTCAGCAAAACAAACAGTGTACAGTGGTAACGTCGTGTCCTTTCAGTTCAAAGGATCAAACTCTGTCCTCAGATACTAACCTCCATGCGATGTTGTTGTTTTTTTCCAGTGGTACCTGTTGGCAGCATTTAAGCAGTGCCATGGCATTTGGCATTCCTCACGCTGTCTCACGTGCATAGTGCTCATTGTAGG